TCTGCAGAGTAAAATAAAACATTTTCTTCCTGTGATATCAACTCTCAGTGTTTATATATTTTTTTAACTCCACATGGATTTCCTCAGGTCGTGAAATGGGTCCAGGGAACCTCTAGAAGGTTCTGATTAGATGAGATCAGACTACAGGAGGAGGAACATGGCTGAATCCAATCAGCAACACGGGTAGGAGCCTGTTCATGTAAAGCTCTGTAGGTTAAGGCTGATAATATAGAAATTAAATTTAAATCTGATGTCATTCAATTGAACAACTTTAAAACAGGTTCTCTGAGTTCCTCTGTTTGAGCGAGTCAGTCATCCTGCAGCAGTGTTTTGGACAAACTGAAGACAAGCCAGACCTACCTATGGAAAACCAAGAATAGAATCAGACAGTGATGTTCCACCAAACTCCACAAAGAGTGACTACTCTAACACAGATAGTTATTCTTATGAAGAATCAGTGAATATTAATCCTAAGTTTTCTTGTAAATTATATTTAATAAACCAACCAGTGTACCTGCTCGTTTTCAAACCCAGAAATCTCAAACTTAGAAAATCTTCACTCAAACAAATTTCCAGAAAGGTGAGGTGAGAATAGAAAAACGTTCTTGCATTTTCTTTTGTTTCTCACAGTAAACTGAACAACTCAGTCCAATGACTTCATGTTCTGATCTCTGGATCATCAAACTCATCCTGCAGGGAGTTGTTCTGTTTAATTCCACAAACCAGGTCCTAAACAGTTTTTTCTCCTGGATCATCAGCAAATATTTGATCGTGAGATCAGGATGGATTTACAGTTGACTGGACACTAACTGATGCTAATGTTCTGATTCAACTCTATCAAGAGTTTATTAGTGATTCTTTCAATGAAAGAAGTGAGAAAACAGACAAGGCAAGGTCCTTTTATTTTATTTCTATTCAATGTTTTAGACCGAAAAAAATCCAAAGTGCTTCATGTGAATAAATCACAGGAAATAGAAACACGATTAAGTGGAAAAATAAAGGCAAGTAAAGAAAAGTTGGATTGAAAACTAAAATTAGTTATGGTCTGTTATCAGTTTAAATCTAGTCAGACTCAAAATAAACAGGGTTTCAACCGTGATTTTGAGGAACTAAAGCTTTTAGCATTTTTACAGTTTTCTGAAAATATTAAACAGTTTAGTTTATGTTAATTTAAAAAAACGATTAAAGTAATAAACAGATTGTTATTGATCTTACTATAAAAATTAACTTTCCGGAGCATGTTGAGAAGATTGACATCAAGGAACTATTTGTATCTACAGTCAATAAAACGTATTTTACATTTTGCCTTTTAAGATTTACATTGCCCAAGAATTTATTTATTTACTGTGACTTAAAAATGTTTAAAGTGGATTTTTAAAACGTGAAAAAGAAAATATTCAAGTCAGCTTTTTAAAAATAGAAGATTAACCACAAATCAATACATCAACTGTTTCATCACAAGTTTTGCACCAAGTCAGAAGCCCAGCTTTAGCTGTGAAAGATGATCCAGCACCACCTGGTGGTGAAAAGCAGATAGTTTTAGTTAAAAATTGACTATGGGGCTAAAGAAAGTGAAACTTATCAGGCGTTGTTGAACTGAGCGGAGACGCCATTACTGGGTGTTTTTTCTCTGCTGAAAAACGAGAGAAATATTGATAGGATTTTATGAAGTAGCTGAATCTTTGGTGAGTCCTGCTGTTAAAATAAGTCATAAAAAATGGCAGAGAGACTTTTTGAAAGTTTCCTGAACTGCCATGTGTGTTCAGAGACTTTCAGAGATCCCGTGTCTCTAAGCTGCAACCACAGCTTCTGTTCAAGCTGCCTGAAGAAATTCTGGGAACAAACTGGAAACAAGAACTGTCCCATCTGTAAAAGAAGATATTCTAAGGATTTTCCCATAGTAAACTTTACTCTAAAGGAACTGACTGATTCTTTTACTGGCCGACAGAAATCTGGATCCTCTGAGACAGAAAGAGAAGAAAAGCAGCTGATGGTGGTCTGCAGTAAACACCAAGACAACCCTGAACTATTCTGGAAAGACGAGCAGAGTGCTGTGTGTCCTGTCTGTGAGTTTTCTCTCCACCAGAGTCACAAAGTGGTTCCTATAGAACAAGCAGTCAGTGAGCTGAAGGAGCAGCTGAAATCTGACTTAAAGTCTCTGCAGGACAAGAGGAACAAACACAAACAGGTGGAGAAAACATACAATGATGTGATTCTACACTCTAAGAAGCAGCTGTTGTCCACAGAGAGACAGATCAGAGCAGAGTTCAACAAGCTCCACCAGTTCCTGAGAGAGGAAGAGGAGTCCAGACTGGCAGCTCTGAGGGAGGAAGAGGAGCAGAAGGGGAAGACTATCAGCAGAGAGATGAAGAGGATTCAGGAGCAGATCTCCTCTCTGTCAGACAGTATCTCTGCTGTTGAAGAAGACCTGCAGAAAGACCAGGTGTCGTTCCTCAGCAGTTATAAAGCCACTCAGAGCAGAGCCAGAGCCCAGAGCTCACTGTCAGATCCACAGCTGGTCTCAGGAGCTCTGATAGATGTGGCCAAACACCTGGGCAACCTGTCCTTCAGAGTCTGGGAGAAGATGAAGGACAAGGTCCACTTCAGTCCTGTCATTCTGGACCCAAACACTGCTAATAGATGGTTGTATCTGTCTGAATATCTGACCAGTGTGAGACATGGAGACACAGAGCAGCAGCTTCCTAATAATCCAGAAAGAAACACAAATTACACCAATGTTTTTGGTTCTGAGGGCTTCAGCTCAGGGAAACACAGCTGGGAGGTGGAGGTTGGAGATCATCCTAGATGGATTATTGGTTTGATTAAAGAGTCTGTTGACAGGAAGGGAGAGTTATATGCTTCACCAAAATATGGAGTTTGGTGTTTATGGCATCGTGATGGAAAATACTCTCAAGGTGGTGATCAGACTCACAAATTAAAGAAGAGTCTCCAGAGAATCAGAGTCCAGCTGGACTATGACAGGGGGGAGGTGTCCTTCTACGACCTTGAAAACATGTCTCACATCTACACTCACAGAGACACTTTCACTGAGAAACTTTTTCCTTATTTTGGTGTTGGAAAATCTGCTGATGCTAAAACATCTGACATCAAAATTAGTAAATCTGAGGTTTATTTAATATTTTCAGACAAGCTAACTAGTAATTCATACTAGACAAGTAATTCATTTTAATAAGTTAAAATCTTTTGGGGTTTTTTTCAGGTCAGAAAATGATGGATAAGATATCTGAATTTAAAGGACTTTGAATAAAAACCAAAATACAAGGTGCTCATCTACTTCGTTAGAGTTGTCCCAATCTGTATGCTGAATCTGAGAACCTACTGACATTTTATTATTTGATATCTTATTTTCTTGACTCCGTTAGTACTTGTTAACAGTATGAGCTTATTTACAAGCTTAAGGATTTCAATCTTTTAATGATTATTTGACGTATATCAGTTTGACTATTTGTCAAAATGCCTGTAGTGGTTTTGCAGATAAAGCCCAGTGATTCAAACTGAGAGCGTATACAAAAGTTTTATTGACAGCTGGGAGGAAGTTGTTGATTGGGGCCAGCAGGTATCGGAGATCAGAGGGACTGAGTCTGAGCAGGTCAAGCAGAGGGAGGCCAGAACCAGATTAGAAAGCACAGCAGGCCAGAGTTGAAGATGCCAGAGATACACTTTCACACAGAGACTTAATTTTATTGATGCTAAAACATCTGGAGAACTACAAATGCATATATAAAAATACACAAAATTAGTACATCTGAGGTCCCTCCACTATTTTCAGAAAAATTAAAGCTATAATAATATTTTTTTTTAAGTCCAGGTTGTAAAATGATGATTAAGATGTTTAGTTAGAATTTAAATGGATTTGATTAAAAACCAGAATATAAGACAATCACTTTTTTTTTTCTTTTCAGTGATGTTACATTGTACAGTACAGTCAATCAGAGCACAGAGAGTTTACATTTTTAATGTGTTTTTTTTCCCTATGTTGATTGTTTTTAACTTTTTTATTACTATTATTAAAAATATTCAAAGCTTTATTTCATTTTTTGGGCCATAAACCATGCCAATAATTTTGGACAGTGAGGACCAATGTCCATGCTTCATCTTAACATGTTCACTTGAGTAGAGGGTGCAGTTTTGCTCCACAGTGCTGCTCTTCTCTGCTTTGCAACTAACTAACTAAGCCGAGGTAACTGCACAGGACACTGCTGCACTTTATAATTGTAACGTTCATTTCACTGTTGTAAGCTCTAAGCAACGGTGTATACAAAATTACAATTAAGTTTGTAAGGTTTGTTGTGCCATATGCCATGATCATACTTTTTGCACAGTGGGAACCAGTGTCCATATTTCATCCTGATAGGATGACCAGAGGAGAAAACTCAGCTTTGGTGAATAACAGGAGGGGTAAAGAATCATTTAGCTAAAGGTTTTTGGTTCTTGATTAAGCAAATCATTCAATAAAACATTATTTGGCCAAATAATGTTT